TTTACACGCATCTCGAACTGGTCATCAGGCAATACATACTTCCATATGACAATTGGGAATCTGGTGCGTGGCTCGAAGCTGCTCTGCGAGACATCTCTCGGCTATAAGATGGACGATCTGCTAACTTCATATATATCTTTGATGTTGACCAATATGAACAAAAATCGAACAATACGAGCCAACTAGTAAAGCTATCTAAAAAGACTCCCACACACACACACATATATATATATATCAATATATATATATATATATTTATAATAATTATAAATTATAAATGCAATAATTTATATAACTAGGACCTATAGTCAATTACCTACTGTGCATCCCTACTTTGATAACACATTCGTTTTTGGCTTGTTTAGCTGCTATAATTTATACCAAACCCTGTTTCATATTTATATTATGCATTTCTTTTGTAAAAATATGCAAACTTTTGTTTGTAGTATCTTATCTCACATTCCGTTTACTTAAATTATTGATTAAACATATCAAGTTGAGGGTCTTACATATTATCCTTATAGATAAGCAATATTATCTATGCATTTTGCACTCTATATAACTTTATGTATATCTCAACTGCATATCTGTACTGATGACGTTTTGTATCAAATACATAGAAATGTTCAATTATTTAATAAATTATATATATACACAAGGTGTGCTATGTCTTCATCTATTCTGCATAGACATTGCAGAATTCTGTTAAACCATTTTTTACTTTTTCACGCGGTTTCCATTAGTGGAACAATATTTTTGCAGCTGTTTTATCCACTGCCACCACTGTACCTATTGTGAATGAACTGACTATCGATAACGAGTGTCGTGTCTTAAGCCTCTGTTATAGCTCTGTTCACAATTGTTAGTCCCGTTATTTGTGAAAATTAGTGCGCGTTTTTGTGTACGTAAAAATAAAATTGTGTTTTAAAGTGCAAATAAAACTAAAAACGTGTAAAAACTCCATTTAATTACAACAATGAAAAGGTGGGTAAGTGTGCATTTGTTACATTTAAATGGGAATAGCTAAGAAATTGAATTCGCAAAATGCAAAATCAAATTTGTTTATGGCCGCAACCATGGCCAAAATTTGTAATCATAAATTAAATGAAATGCAATTCGTAAAAGTGAATAAAACAAGTGCGCCTGCGGTCATTCGATGCGCGTAGGCGGTCTTTATATTATAAACTTTATAATAAAAGCAACCCGTGGCAGGAACTGCCACTGCCAGCGCCGACGCCTGCGCTGACGCCTGCGTCACTGCCCAAAGCGCCCCACAGACTGCACGGCGCTCTGCGCAGACTGTTGTGTAAAGTGTTAGCAAGTTTTTCTAGCTGTGCACGCGGTTTGTGTACAGGCTAAAAAGGTTCAACTTTTCGATAGACTTGTGGTGTGTGGCGAAACTTGGCTGCATTATTTACATATGTTTTTTGTGGTCAAGTTTTGAGGCTTTTGATCAAATTATTAATGTAATTTGTTTTTGATTCAAATTATATTATTTTCGCTTGACAAAATATAAACTCTTTAATAGGTAAATTACAAGTCGTCATACAAATATTTTATATTTTGTGATTTGACATGCATAAAGTGATATACACTAAAAATACGAATCCACATTTTTGCTTCAAAGCATTTTTATTTACATATCAAAATGCAAACATCTCGAGATTCTGATTATCTTAAGGCATATTGCTTAAGTGAAATAAATAAATGTAAAATTAATTATGGGCTTTGCGTGGATTATCAAAAAATGGATCATCATTAAGTTGAATGTTTTTGATAATGGATCGCTTGATTACAACAATTTTGAATCAGTTTTTGTAACTTATCGTCATATTTATGTAAATCAGTAGTAGGCGTTTGCCCTCAACAAATTTCGTCACTTACTCCATGTGATAGAAAAGCCTCTGGCGTGCCATCTCCTCCCAGAGACTAATGCCAAAGCTGCAAGTGTCGCATTTCTCGATATACTACTATCTCTCGAATATTTCTTTATAGACCTGGCCATAGCTACCGTAGTGTATTTCCTGACTGATGCACTCTTAATCTTTCACTAGAAATTTAACTGAATATCAATTAATTCCATTTCTATTTATTCCTTTTTTTGCCTGAGTAATACTGACAGACATACATATAGAAATATCTATGTTTATATTTGTATGTACTACAGCTTAATATATGTATTTATTTTTCATATCATAGAAGGTAAACGTTTCTGTTTGAGGCTGCACATTGTAATGTGCAAATCTTAAAGACTCCTGTCAATTATAAACTGATAATGATATCAGATATAATTGAGAGTTTTAAAAAGTTTAAAATAGATGTGGAATTTTTACGCTGAGCCCTTTCATATTTGGTTCCATTTTACGCGAAAAATTACAGCGTTCTGTTATCAATAACATAGCGAATAACAGGCTGTTATGTTCCTGTTATAATTTTAACAATCACAATCGGGGTATCACTCAATGTCTTTAATGCCTCGTAGATAACCATAAACTAAGCAACTAATATTATTTTGAACCCCATCAGCCAGATACAGGAATACGTGTGTTGTTCTTGAAATATTCTCAATTTCATTTAACTGTGTAAAATTTGATTTGAAACAAGATTCACAGATTGCGCAAAACCGACCTTGGCTTAAAATTGGGGTTTTAAGTTAGTTTTGGAAAATTTTACATTTTATGCCCGGTTAAATCCAGGTAATGTTTGATACTAGATGAAAAACATTTGCGTTCTTTGAAGATCATTTCAGTTAATTATTGCAATTGGTCTCTATTACTACTTGGAATGATATAAAAATATATACTATAACTTAATATATGTATTTATTTTTCTTTTTATATCTGCTTTGATTGCATGCAACCCCTTTTTGGCTCCCACACAACCGGCTGGCAATTCCCACGCATTGTATGGTTAGAATTTTCACAGCGTGTGAAAACCGGCAGCCGGCTTTAAAGTCAAGACGCAGATTTTTCAAGATAATTAGTGCAGTGGAAGCTCCTGAGAATTTTTCTTTTTTTAACATTTCCCCCCTTGTACCTGTAACACCCAACGCAGTCACCTGTCCAACCAGACCAGAGCGAGGGGCAAAAATTATGCACTCGAAATGTGAATGTTCATTAAAAATTCAACTAATTTCATATTCAGCTTCTTATAAGATGTCATGCGTGGCAACGGCCTTAAAGAAGTTGCAGTTCCAATTACAAAACTTGGTGGTGGTTTTTACAACTTGACCCCTTTGGCCCCTTTGCTGTTCAGTTCATCTCTCACGCAACTCAGGCGACGCAGGCGACGACGCCAAGTTTGTCGTTTGAGTCTTTCGTTTGCCATCTCCAGAAATTCCCATCAACTTGGGGGTGAGTTGCATTTGTTCCCGCTGTCGCTGCTGCTGCTGCTGCCTGCCTGCTTCACTGACTCTGATAAGACTTGAGACTTAGCTACAAAAATTCTAATTAAAACAAGTAAGAGTGCTTAAATCAGTTGTGCCCGAATATGAGATACTCTGCACGACGCTGCTAGCTGCTGTACAAGATATTCAAACTTTATTCTCTTTATAGAAACATATCTAACACTCTTTCCTAACTTTTGTGTTTAATGTCCGATTTTTTTTACAATTTCGTTGATTGAAATATATCGTATATAATTCTTTGGCAAAACAGGGGATTGTATAAAGAAAATACGCGAAACTACGTAACAGATTTGATGTCTCTAGTAAACACAAGAACTCTAGGCTGAAATAGTGATATATAAAAAATTGGTCGCTGGGCTGCTTGTCAAGCGAGGATTGCTTAAAAGGCGCCGCTTCGAGACTGGAATTAGAATTATTTTTTTTTTTAATAAACCGAACCTTAAAGTAAGCCAATTACCCAAAAAACAGCTTACACGAAAATGTAGCATATTTTATTTCAACAAGGACTTTATTAAAAATAGAAAACTCTTGAGGAAGCAGTACAAAAATAACATATTTGGTAACTGCTAGATTAAGGTAGATATAAATTTAAGCCCCCATTCTATAAGAATGGGTTATATTTAGTAGAACGGGCAATTAGAAATTGAATTGTTTCATTAGAATTTTGAAAATGCATGTCAAATCAAGATACGAACCAAATCCTGGGTTGATGGATTTGGTAAACCAGCAAAAGATTAATTCAGGTAGTAGGTTCGAAACGCAAATCAAGCCATTGACCACTTCTTTAATTAATATATATATAATATTACATTTAAGCCCATACTAACGTATATATGAAAATATACGATACTTTTGAACAAACATATTTCACAGTGGAATATCTTAATAAGGTCTCGGGAGATGTTCCTTGTTTGTCTTTGACACTTCTTCTTCTGTTTGCAATATATATTTGAGTAACATTATGTTACCCATTTTAGATAAGTTCAGGTGTATAGAGTATTGGGCGAAAACTTCAAGTTCGACGCTGTGATTAGTTTGGCAAACCCAAAACGGAAGCGCGATAATTAATGCAAAACTGCGATTGTTAATTTGTAAATCTGTAAAACAACAATAACAGGTAGTCTGGCAAATAATGCATAAATATTAAACAAAGATAGTTAAGAAAACAAAAAAAAAAAACAGAAAAAGAAAAAAGATTCTCAGCGCTGGGCCGCTTATTGTCAACGCCTTGTGGGGCTGTGTGAATATTCTGTTCCTTTAGCTCCAAACGGAAACAATGCGGCGTTATATATGTACATATATATATATATATTTCTTGACTTTGCGTTTTTCGTAATGGCAGCTAAAAATTCAAATCGACCAACCAACTGTAATTAAAGTTGAAGAGGCAGCCCACCGTGGGAAGTGCTGCACTTGTTTTGTTTTAGTCTCAAAAATGTTCACACGACATGGCAACATTTTCCCATGCCGATTTAAATCGACTATTCGCCTAACCAAAGGGGGCTGGTGGCGGGATTTGTACCTTTTTTTTTTTTAGCTGGTAGGTCATTTAAAGCAACGGAGAAAGAAAATGTTAAATCATGACAAATTCAAATTGTTAACTGACATAGTTTATGTTTGTTCTGGTATTTATTTAGATTTAGGGTTTCTCTTAGGCTTACAACTTTCTTCATTCAGTTATCTTACAAAATTATATGCTTTGTCATATATATATATATATATATTTATTTATATATATCTGTATATGGTCTAATGCTGGGCTTATGTTGGGCTTGATGTAAATTATTCTCAAGTGTGCCTGTTGACTGTAGCTTTTTTTAAGTGGAATGTTGTACAAGATGTTCAGCAAACAGTTGTTATATATAATTATATGGGCGATCCAATTAAGTTGGCACAACGCATAGGCCCAGCATATACATCAAATGTTCTATATACTATATAAATGTATATTTAACTAGAGTTACATTTAATTCTTTATGTCAGTGAGCTCTTTCGAGTTATTTACAAATATATTTTGCATTTATACATCTATTGGTACCGGCTAGCACTACAAAATGATAATATTGGTCAACTTGAAATTGGTTTTCGTTTTGTTCGCCTCGCATTGAGAGAGTGAGAGGGGGTGGGGGAGAGTGAACAACTTAAGAACTAAGCATGTGTTTAAAAACTAAATATGTGCTAGACGAACTTTAAATAACTTGGCATAAATAAATGTATATGAAATTGCAAATAATAGCAATACTGCCGCACTCAAGACAAGCCGCTCCCATGACTATTCCATTGCACTTCCGAGATGGAGGGTAGCGTTTGATGCGTCTGCTGTTGCATGCTCTGCTGTAAGCTGGAGCCGCCAGCTGGTGAATTGCTGCTGTTGCTGTTGTTGCTGTTGTTGTTGTTATTGTTGTTGTTGCTATTGTTATTATTGTTGCTAATGCTTGTGATGTTATTGTTGTTGTGACGCGTACGCATAACATCGTCAGCCTGATTACAATGCGATCGCGGACCCGGCTCCGGCGTATAGGTGAATGTCAGCCCAGTGGCATAAATGATGCCATCGTTGCGTACCAGCGATATTGGCACCTGCGTGGGCTGTCGCACCTGCCAAGAAATTGTATAAACATAAGAATTCACGTGCATTCCAAGCAAAACACATACCCAAAGCCATTCGCCGCGAAATTGTGAGATTTCGGGCACCACACAGAGCAGCGTTTCTGCGCAGCGATACATGGTCTCCGCCTCGACATCGCCAAACCAGACCTGCAAATGCGGCGTAAAGTTATCGCCGCTCAGCTCCAGCATGGCCACATCGCCGCCGCCATTAAGATTCAGCGAATTAACAATTGGCACTGGCGTCACCGGTGAGCTAAGGAACCAATCAAAGATTATAAACAATAAAAAGGAATATTGATACACATTTGAAGGACTTACGCAACGGGACCCATGCCCTCGTAGAACTGATATTCGGCTTTGTCGGTGGATATGATTGTCCAGCAAGCGCCATCGTTGATCATTTCTTTGTTGGGCTCCTTTGGGCAGGGCGTGGCCTGAAATTGTATGATCTTCTCCTGTGACAGGCAGAGATACATGCGATCCGTGTCCTTCATGTAAAAGGCGCACTTGTGCAGCTGCGAGACCGGATCATCGGCCTCCAGCAGTGCCATCTGTTTATCGACTTTGCGTATGATTAGACGCGGCAGCGCCATGCCCGTAACAGAGCATACCAGCTTAACGGTGGCACCATAGTGTATATAACCATCGCGCACCTGAAACTCCTCCGATTCGGATTCATTATCATCGAGCAGATGTATCGTGAATGCGCCCCATTGTGTCGATGAGGCATGGAAATGCCCGTTCTCCACGTGCAGATACCGAGTCGAGACAGTTTGGGAACGCAGGCGATTGAAGAGGGCGACATTGGTGCCGCTGGCTATGCACAGGTCGGCATTCTTGAGGGATTGCTTCTTTTTGGACGGCTTCGAGATGACCTTGATGCGCTTGGAATTGAATACGCCAATGTCGTGGCCATTGCCATAGAACATTTTCACCGACAGCATGAAATGCTTGCGCTTATCCGAATCCGATATAAACAACGTCTTGGCTGCACAATACTGTTTGCCATTGAGATCCAGCTGCTGCATATCCTGATCGCTGCTGCCAATGCCAATGAATGCGCACAGCTGTGCCCCCTGCTCGCCCTCGCCCTGCTGCAGCATCTCCTCGTAGCGTCGACGCCAGCCGCTGCCAAACAGATAGATACACGGCGGCGGGCAGAAGAAACGCTTCTCATTGCCATAGGATTTCTGTGCCACCTGCAGGAGTAGCAAAAACTCGATTAGCCAACTAGCCGAGTAAATCTAACAAATAACTTATAGTAGTAAAAATAATAGTAATAATAATGAAAATCAGTGCTTCGATTATCGACAGAGACAAATCGTAACAAACTGTAACCGCAGCAATGCAGCTGTTAAATTTGTCGTATAATTAATTTCAATTATTTTATTGTGGCCGCCGTTTGCTTAATTTGGGTGCAGTCAAGTGTGAAGGATGCGATGCCTGGACGGCGGCCGACGCTTGAAGATAGCCGCGTCAAACCGCAACAAATGCCCGCACTGGAGCAGCAATTCGCTTCGGAATTGCAAGTGAAGCCCACACATTAACCCAAGCCCACCCATAAATTAATACATATAAAGCTGTCCACAATCTCTTGCCAAATCTGTGGATGACGTCACTGCAGCAACATTTTAAGGCAAACTTTCCTGAATATATGGAATATATACAAATATATTTATTCCTATGTATATATAAAAAGGAGTATTAAAAGAAAAACTCCAAATTTTACGTCGTTTTAACACACTTTTATATAAAACCGTCCTACGATTTTATACGGTTCTTGTTTTGGCATATATTATTATATATAAATATTATATTTATAAAAATAGCCATTTTTTAATAATTTAATTTTTTTTTTTATATCAACAAAATGTTTATCTACAATTAAGACAATACGAAAACAAGATTATTGAGATACGAAAAATATTTCAAGTTATTAGAAAATCCCATAAAAAATGTGCAATTATTTAAAAAATTTATACATTCATTTAAAATTTCCTGTCTCTAGGTAAAAAAACAGATTTTTTAGGGGTATTCCACATAAAAAACTCTTGAAGATTTAAAATCTTTTGAGAGCTATATATAAATTTCAGTCATCTTCCAAGTTTCATAGATCTTATAGAAGCTAAATGATTTATTAGCCCGATTTTAATAAAACTTTCAAAATATTAGATGCAAGCTAAAACTTGTATTTGCTAAATTTGGTTAAGATATATTTTTAATATATTTTAATTCAATTTCCTGTCAAGCATTTCTTTCACAACAACTCCAAGCTGATCCTGATAATCATGAATATAAATTTATATACATGTACAGGCATACTCAATAGTTCAATAGACAGTGATAACAAGGACATACTATGCACACATATAATTTGTATGTATTTGTGACGTCACGCTGTCTTGTTAATCCTCTCTCAAAGCGAAACCTTTCAAAATATTCTGTTGTTGTTTCACACTAAACCCACCTTGGCGTGCAGTATGACGATGACCATGTCGTTGCGCTCGCGCATGTACTTCTCCATGGCATCGCGCGTCAGCTTCTTTTCCTCAATGTGCGACCGGTATGGACCTGGAACAGCAACCGGCAGCATTGATAGTTGCATTTGTTGTTGTTGTTGCTGCTGCTGCTGTTGTTGTTGTTGTTGTTGTTGATGATGCACTTGTAGCTGCTGCTGCTGTGGCGGCGGCGCACTGCCCAGTCCAAAGTGCGGCATATCCTGGCTGTGACTGTGCAGCTGAGTATGCTCCAAGGAGTTGCTATTGCTGCCGGCTGCTACTGCTGCGGCTGCGTTCTCGTAGACAATGGCGGGCGGTGCGGCGGCAACAGCGTTTAAATTAAATTGGCTGTAGCTCTTCATTTAAGCACATGCTGTTTTAATGTCGTCTATTATTGTTGTGCTTTTTTTTTTGTTTTTGTTTTTTTTTTTTTGGCAACTTGTTTAACACTTTGGCACTACTTGCACTTACACTTGTACTTTGTTTGTGTTTTGCTTTTTTCGTCTTTCAAGTCGTTGTATCCTGGCACAACACACGCAGCAGCAGCTGTCGTTTCTCACGGTTTCGCTTTCGATGTTGTTGTTGTTTTTTTTAATTTTTGTTTTAGAATGCCCGCCTGGCCACAATTAACAAGTGTAGACTTAGGAGCGCGAGTGCGAGTACGACTGAAGCTCGTTGCGGCTGGCTGCTGTTTAAACTAGCAACTAAACTGTGGTAACTGATTTATAATAAATAAAAACGAAATCAAACCCCACTAGCAAGCAGCAGCTACCAAACAAACTAGGGTTGTTGTTATCGTATCGATATCTTCAAATATGCCACTATCGATAAGTGGCTGAGCGTATGCGATATGCGTATGCAAGAGTGTTCTATCGATAGTTTATACATTCACGGTTAAAATCTGTGACGTCAATTCTACAATGTTTTCAACATTAGGTAAATGGCCTGCTTGCATAAATTCATTTCAACTCATTTACAATTACACGCTTTTAAAGATCATTGTGGAATTTCAAAAATTCAAAAAATTAAATTAATTTAAATCGTAATTTGCCGGCAACCTTCTTCGAAAATATTCATCACATTAATACGCCTTCGCTGTGACTACAACAAATGAGGACTCACAAGCAAGTTGGCAGCTCCTAGTCAGTTTACCACCAAGTTGGCAGCAACGCAAACTGTGTGCGCTTAAAATTTTTATAAAATTCTAGAATCAACCACACAGACAATGGAACAGTTTAAGGGCTTGCAAAAATCCCTATATATATGGACTGATAGCGCTGATCTGGATAAACGTGTAGAGACACTGAAGGCGGCCACCTGCGGCGAGGTGGCTGTAGAAAATGTGCATCGCCTGTCATTTTGTAAGTGTTAACAGAGTGTGAGTCAGCATGTTTATTGCCAATTGCATGCATTTTAGCCTCTTACGCCAATTCGAGTTTTGATCTAATTGTGATCGAATGCGCCCAATTGACTGACAATTACGTAAAGCTGCTCCACATGCTAAAACCGAGCGGCATACTGCATTTGTTTTCCTACATTGGACCGGGCAGCAGTCTGTTGCAGGAAATCAAGCTGTCTGGATTCATCAATTGCCGTGAGGATGCCGTTGCCAATACGCTGACCGCGGAGAAGCCTGGCTATGAGACGGGGTCCTCGGCCCGGCTATCGTTTGCAAAGAAAACATCTAGCGTGAATGTATGGAAAATAAGCGGCGATGATGAGGAGCTTATCGATGAGGAGGAACTGCTCGATGAGGAGGATAAACAAAAGCCAGATCCAGCTGGGCTGCGAGTCTGCAGCACCACTGGCAAGCGCAAGGCATGCAAGAACTGTTCCTGCGGCCTGGCCGAGGAGCTAGAAAGCGAGAAGACAACAAAAGCGGTCACCGAGAATGCAAAGTCCAGCTGCGGCAATGTATGTAACGTCTATGTTTACGTGTGAAAAGGCAAAACCCATACAATAACGTGCACTTGGAAATTAGAACTATTAGTAATTGGAATCGTCACTATACCCTTACATTGGGCATTTCAATTTTGTGATGACGTTCGTAACGCCTGGCAGACAACTGCGACCTCAGAAAGCACTTGGGAATTGGAACTTTTAGCAATTTGAGTCGTCATTATACCCTAACAATGGGCGTTCTTATTATGTCGCGACGTTTGTAACGCCTGACAGACATCGCCGACCTCAGCAAGTGTAAATTTATAATCCATATTCGTCTGTCTGTCGTTTATATAGCCGAATCTTTGCACATGTCTATTGCAGGCAGTACATGCTTCTAATTATATTTCGGATCTGCTAAAAATTAAGTACATTAATTCAAGACCTTACATGGACCTGAAATAGTCCATGAAAAAGTTTATAAAAACCCTGTGCAACTAGTTTTTAATATATTGGATGTAACATTAGGGCACTTTTAAATTTTCTTATATAGAAAACTAGGACTTTCACCAATTAAGAGTTCATTTCCAATTAGCATCATTTAAGTAACCGACGCGTACTAATTTTCTCATGTTTTTGTTTTTTCTTATTCTATTATTTTGCAGTGCTATCTGGGCGACGCGTTTAGGTGCTCCTCGTGCCCATATCTGGGTATGCCAGCCTTCAAGCCGGGCGAGAAGGTGCAGCTGGCGGATAATTTGCTGAAATCGGACATTTAGGCTTAGGACACAATGCAGCACATATAGACTTGGACACTTTATTAAGTGAATATAATTTCATAATTAAATATAAAATTAATTAAAGAGAAAACAAATGAATAGCGCACAATCAAAGGCTCACTGTTCGCATGGCGTACCCTTGATAAGATCACGACTCTTGCCGGTCAAAATGCGATAGTTGACGGCCGTGTGGTCCAGCTCCTTGTACAGAAAGGTGGGCATTCTGTCGGATAGTACCCAGAGTGAGCCAGTGCTGTCTACCTTTAGATCGTTGGGAAAGACCAAAGTATGCGAATCGGAATCAATGAGGCCCTGTGTATCCGCTGTATATGGACGATTGACATTCCAGCAGGCGATGGCATCCTTGTTCACCTGCGTGTAGAACAACACGCCTGTCTCCTTGTCGTACGCCTCGGCCGTCGACTGTCCGTTCATGCCGCGATCGCCGACAAGTTTAAAATCATGATAGGATTCGCCGCCATTAACATGACTTTCGTTTTGGAGCACACGATTGGAGACCTTGAACTCCTTGGTGCTGGCCAGCGCATGGAAGTATATATCCTTGGTGTGATCGGGATTCAGTGGGCCAACGGCCAAGCCGAATACGCCATCGGTCCATTGGAAATTCACGCCTGCAACATTGAAATCACCCTGCAGCGGTTCAAAGTGGAAGTAATTGTGCTTTACACGATAGGATTTGTTGTCCCGATAGGAGTAGACAATGACGCCATATGCGCCCAAATCTGGGACATATGCAAACGCATCATCGCACTGTTCTCGCTCCACATCGACCACCTAAACAAAATGTGGGGAAGGGAAAACTTGTTAAGTAAAAACCTCAATTGATTTTGCCAGGAGTACGCACAATATTAGCAAAGAACGTGTCCTCCTTGGTCTGTTCGGCGGGTATGGCAAAGCGGCGCAGCAGCTGATCCGTTTTCAGATCAAACACTAAAATCGAATTGGGTGTAATCTGCTTGGGATTGCCCAAAATATCGGCGAGACCGGTGTCCAACACCCAAAGACGATCGCAGGCATCCACCTGAATGCGGAAGGTGGAAATTATGGTGGCATTGTCCTGTAATTGTACACCCGCATCTTGCGCCTTCTCCGCATCCAATCGGCCACCGGCGGGCGTCTTCTGCTCCTGTGGCTGCACATCAATTGGCAGCTTGTTGGCCTCCCAGCTGGGATACGGACGCAGTTTCGGTGATTTTTCACTGGTCGTCAGATCAATGTAGTTCAGTGTAGCCGCCACGCCTGCCTTCCATCTGAGCGAGTGTATTAAAAAAACAAAATCGGTAAGTCTGAGAGCGCTTTACCCATTTTCTTTACTCTTGTGGGGGGTTTTAAAATGTCATAAAATAAATGACGCATAGCTGGAGACATCTCCGACCTCATAAAGTATATATATTCTTGATCAGCATCAAGTCGGGTTGATATAGCCAAGTCCGCCTGTCTGCCTTCTATGCGAACTGGTCTCAGTTTTAAAGTTATCCTCTTGAAACTTTTGCAGAGGTCCGTCTCTCTGTGGCTGGCAGTACATAAGTCAAAGCTAGCGGGATCAGACTACTATATCACACAGCTGCCATATGTATGATCGGTCGAAAATTAAGTTCTTGGATGAAAAATTTTTTTATGCTTAGTTTCACTAAGCTCACATATAAGCCAAATATCAATGTCGGTCTACTATAATACTTCCATGATTTAGCTCTAGAGTAGGAATCGGTTGAAAAATGAGTTTTAAAGGGAACAATTTTCTGATTTTTTTAAGTTATCTTCACCAAACTCGGTAATTACGATGTATACAGATTCTCAGATATCTGCGAAACTGTAAGGGTATTTAATCTTCGGCATGCCGAAAATAGCCAATGTTTGCATCTTTGATGTAAAAAGAGATTTGTTTGTGTTCATATTTTAAAGAGTGTAGTTACACATATTTAATATGCTTATTTTTTCGAAAACCCTTTTATCCATAATCGATAAATATCGATCCTTGAGAATATTCGGGTTAGAGTCATCGAAATTCGGCCCAAATATACTCTTAGAGCAGACTTCAATTGAGGTATATTTACGTTTTTAAACAATTTCTTCCAGAGTTTTAAATTTAATATAAATAACTGCCGAGTATTTGAGTCTGTTTTTGGTAAGGAATAAATTTGAATGATATACTCATGACCTGATAACATAAAAGCGATCGAAGAATTAACTCAAAAGTTATTTAAAAATAATTTTTAAAAAAGGTAAAGCGGGAATTCTCAAAACCAGGCACAAATGCAATCTTATATATTATATATTTTATTGCAGATATTGCTCATTCAGCCTTTTTCTGATAAATTTAACTGCATTGTTCAGAACAATATATTTGGGCTTTTTTCTTCTTCTGAATCAGCATGTTGTTGACATCAAACCTGATAAGCATATTAATATTTTCGGTCAAAATATTATTGGAACAGGTAAACCACCGCGCAGCGATGACGTCATCGCAACTAGATGGGCAGGTCGAAATAGTCAAAGATCAAATGTGATAAGCGTCCGTATATATATGTCCCCTGTTCGATCACGAATTAATTTACCATGTAAGCGTTTTGTCTGAGCATTAATATAATTAATAATTATTTGCATAACAGTTATTTAAAATGCAAATAGTTGTATACTAGGAAAGAGAAAAAGAGCAAAAACAACGAATAACCGGTTTTCCCTCAAGACAAATGGGTTTTCGCAACACGAATAAAAGTAAATATATATAAAAAAAAAGTACAAAGAGGTAATCGCAGCGGTAATTGATATTTTTGGCTGCCTCCGCTTACCTTGGCACAGTGACAAAGATTTTGTTTTCCCAGCGCTCCACGCCGAGCGGTAAATTGTTCTCCGCTATGTAGTGTCCGTTGCTTTTGGCCTCCGTCTCGGCCTCTGCGCTGGGCCAGTCGAAGGTCAGCTGCTTCCATGAGAATCTTTCCTCCAGCTTGGCATTGATGCCCAAACAACAGCAACAGCTGATCAGGCACAAAGCCAGAACTTTAACCGAATACATGGCTGCCTTTTTTACGGTTTTCTTTATTTTTTTTTTGATTATCTCAAAACTTCCGTCGACCGCGTTCAAACTGGGCTTCCGTTGCGTTCGAGCTGAGCGCGCCTACTGCAATACTTGAGCTCCGTTCAGAGCTTAATATGCTGACGAAAGCTAAAAGCTTTGCGAAGCTTTCCCTCGGCTAACGGCTTAAAGCTCTACTGCAGCCTGGGGCACTGCAGGCGACAGCTGTCTTCTTTTGTGGGTGGGTCGCCGCCAAATTAGCATAGGCGGAAGGGAATAAGGTACGGTAAAAATAAATGTTGCATTAAAAAGTCTATAAATGGACAGCATTTATTTAACTGTCACTTACAACTTATGCGTAACTCATCGGGTCAGATGCTATTGTGTGTGTGGATAGAGCTCTGAGCTGAATCCAATTGGAAACTAGTTTACAGTTGAAACGAGTTCTCAATTCAGCTGAAAACATGGAAAACTACGAGTAAAAGTTAACAGAAAGCCGGTTCCCCTGTAATTGGCTGTTAAATTAAACCAAAACATAACAATTCTAGCTATGGCCAAGTGATTTTGGCTATTATGCACTTAAATATAGCTATAAAAAGCTGAAGAATTTATAAAAGTGCTCCAGCCAATCATTTTGGCTATGGCTATTATACACAGGTATAGCTTAATACTTTTTTAGCTTTGTCCATTTAAATATAGCTTTAAAAAGCTGAAGAACATATTTAAGAGCTCAAGCCAAGCATTACGGCTATAACTATTATTCCCAAAGCTATAGCTTAACACTTTTTAAGCTTTATGCATTTTAATATAGCTATAAAAAGCTGAAGAGTTTATAAAAGAGCTACAAGCAAACATTTTGGCTATGGCTATTTTACTCATAGCTAAAGCTTGACATGTTTTTAGCTTTAAAATGCCAACTTTAGCGGAAAATATAGCTGTGAGCCTTGGCTAAACACAGCTCTAAGCAATTAAGCTGCAGCTTTTGTAAATTTTAACATAGCTCTGGTTAAAAAAAAAAGTGTAACAAAAACTTAACAATAAATTCTAGCTACATATAGCTATATGATGAAAATTGTATTCAAACAATAACAATAAAAATAATAATATCTATAGGCGTAAGTTACGCAAGAACAGTTTAAATAACGAGATATTTTTAGCTGCTGCTGGGTATAAAGTATATTGAAATTTCCTTTATATCTCTTAAAACACGATTCATTTTAAATCAAAATGTAAATTATCATACCCGTTGACAAACACGGCATTTGAGCATACAACAATTGACTCAGGAGGGGGCTTATGGTAATTGCATTTATCACAATATCAGCTTCCAGATGTTTGTATGATGCATATGCTTTAATATGGATGAGTTTTGGTTGCCGGCTTGAAGCGAAAAAATAAACGAGATTTGTTTTGCTCTTTTGTATAGTATACAATATCTTTGCCAATTGAATTTGTTTCCTTTTTTTTTTATTTGGTTTTTTTTTTGTGTGTTTATTCAGTAAAATTCTCATATTCCGTTAATTAGACTTTAAATTAATTCGTTAATGTTACTTTCATAAGAACATACCGAGTTTTCTTTGCTTCATATTGCTACAATTGTATTTGTATTTGCTTTCACTAACATTAAGTTTGGGAAATCAATTTGAATGCGGTTTATATACTCGTGTTTTTACAACAATTAGCTTTGCTAAAGTTATTTATTAACTTTTTGGTTGCAGGTGTCGGGCTGTAGTTATATTTATGGCTGTGTTTGTGATAAACGATGGAAAAGCAAAGAACCAAAATAAAATTAACATTTGAGTTTCGAGTAAATCTTGCAATTGTCGCTTAGTTTTTAGCTTAACACGCTATATACAATATACATGTTTTAAATTACGTCTACCCTAACAGCATTCCCTATATATGAATTACAATCCAATTAAACTACAAATTCCAACGATCCTTAACAATATATTAAAGGTGTTCTTTTTTTGCTTTCTTCATTTGACTTTTGTTTTTATATACTAGAGATGTCATTTTTGCAGTGTGTAAATTTTCTTATGCACTTCTTCAATTCGTATACATATATTAATAGATGTATATATGTATATATATATTATGAATGCTTGTGTAATTTTATTCATCATCGTTCATTGTGTGTGTGTGTGTGTGTGTATAGTTTTATTTCATTTAACGGCTTAGATTTTAAAGTCTTTCATTTCGTAGGAATTTGATGTTGTCTATGTTTTGCTTTTTTTCTTTTCATTTTTTATAGCACTTTTCGTGATGGATAAGAGTGATTGAATTTAAAAAAGGTTCCATTTCGATTTATTTTATTTATATATATATATATATTTGAGAAATTTCTTCAATAGGTTTCAGTTATCGTTTGCTTTTTCATTTTTCTTTTAAATAAATGTCAATTCCTATTTAAATAACGACGCATTTATTTTCACATTATACATTATTCTCCGATTTGTTTGCTTTGTCTATATGTATATATACATACATAAGTATATATATATTATAAATGCAATTTTAGAACTTACAGTATGTTCAAAAATTTTACTTTGCTTTCCCATTTTCAGATTTCCCATCATCAATTTCTATGTGTATAATAACAGTACAAATAAATTAAAATGTTGCTTGAGCACATAACCCCGCCCCCAAATATAATAATATATTTACCTTGATACTACACTAGACTATGCTATATGTTAATTATTTATCTAAGATTTGCTATGCTTTCCTTACGATTTGTGCTACTTACGACTCACAGAAATTTAAACTATTTAAAACATTATATTCGTGTGCAGTATAAATGTTAAGTACGACAATTATTGGACAGGCGCCAAAAATTTATACACGCGTACACAACATGATCCATACAAAAAACTAACACTAACTTAGGCTAAACTACAAGTTAAATAGGCCAAATCTTGTTAGAGTCTGGTACTGGAGTCTAGGAGCTCATATTGCCACGGCATTAGTCAGGAGTAGAAGTCCTGGGCTCAACAAAACATGAAATGGGAAAGGCCGCCTTGGGAGGGGAAACAAACAGCATTAATGGATGTGAGTGTGTGGGTGTGTGTGCGTGCGTGTGTTTCTAGCTCTAGGAGACAGCGCTGAGCAAAATAGGTTTATATGGGGAAAATACTCGTTATACAAGAACATATGTACTAAACACAACAATTTGTTTACATTTGCATTTAAAAATTACTAACTTTAACATGATTTCGCTTATAATTATTGCTATTTTTGTTGTTTTTTGTTTAATTTCTGTTTTAGTTTAATGACGTCTATGTTGGGGTTGTGTTCAACTTTAAAGCCTAACAATTTTGTTTAGTTCACATTCTAATGTCGTTAATTATTTTTAAGTAAGTTAAGAGTATTTCGTTTTAATTTAAGTACTTGCTAAACACGTTTAAGGTACAATACATATTTCAGTTAATCTACAAAATTGCTGCTACCAATTTTCAATAGTTAGCTCAGCTTAAAGTTGATACAAAGTTCATTAAGTACATACACATATTTATTAAGTTATCGTTTAGCTTCTTCATTTTTTTTTTTTTTTTGTATAATTCACCTATCACGCAAAGGAAATTGACAAGTTTTTTCATGTACGGTGCTCATGAGTATCTGCAAGAGAAATAAATATGAGTTAGTTTCAGTTGATTTACGTTTGAATTTAAATTTTAAATCAAAGTTGAACGCGCCGAGTGGTACAATACGATATATCGATTACGCTAACAGTGACTATCGAGCTGCCGGAGACGATCACGATTGGTGCGAAAACAAGGTGTAAACAATTGTGAGCCAGTGAATCAGTCAAACATTAATAATCGATAGCCAGTATCGTATGTTTTATTCATGTTAAGGCTCTGTTACTGATAGAACCGTTATTTGTGAAAATTTGTGCGCGTTTTTGTTTACGCAAAAATAAAAGTGTGATTAATAGTGAAAATTGAATGAACTTAACGTTAAATTGCAATAACAAACAGCTGGGTGAGTTTGCGTTTGATGCAGATAAATGGAAATACCCTTTAAACTCCTTTTGAAAAATGATCAATCGAATTTGTCAATGCCCGCAAAAAGAGCTAAAATTTCTAGTAAAAGATGTCAAATGTTGAGATCATGTAAAGCTCGTTAAACAACTACTGCTACATTTGCTGCATTCGGATATATATTTTACCGCTCACTTACCTTGTGTGATTGCGAGTGTAGCTGCGGGCGTGGGATGCGCAGAGGCGGCTGTACTGATGATAGCAGCAGCCTGTGACTGCACTGCCAGCGAGGTTGTTGCTGTGCCGCCGTTGCCGTTGAGCCCGCCAACCGCGATGCCGGCACCCGATGCTCCATTCAGTTCTGTGCCCTTCGTATTCACGTCCCGCTCGACCAACCGCTGCCGCAGAACTCGTATCTTTTCCTCTTTCTGTCGGTGCACTCAATTAGCTTTATGTAGGGAATTTTTCAAAATTCGATAAATTTTCACTTTACCTGTGTTATCAATCGTTGTAATTCCTCGTTTTCGGTTACCAGTTTTTGATAGCGTTCCTCGTCCTCCTTCGATATGGCCGAATCTGGATTGTACTTTGATTCGGCCTTATCTTTTGGATGTCGTATGACCTCAATCACCTAAATATGGTAGATGTTAAATAAGGTTATTAATTCTTTTGTTGCAAATTAAGTTTCGAGGGAAAATTAATGAAAATAGAATAGATACAAATTATCTTTAAAACAAAGTTTTAACGGTGATCCGCCGTGAACCGTTTCTCACCAGTTTTTCACACTTGCGTGTGAATTTGATAAAAACGCTGTGTTAGTGTTCAAAAACGATCAAAAATGCAATTTACCTTTGGCACAAATATCAGCAACATGCTTAGGAAACAACAGAATATCACAGCTAGTGCAACAAAGGCAAAAGACGCGTCCTGCTGCGATGCAATGACCATGCCCACTGGCGCCGTAATTAGGCAGAGCACAACCACATTATAGATGCTCATTCCCACATAGCGCGAATCATTGATCTGTTTGACTTTGATCGAACGCGTCTCATAGGCCAAGAACAGACCGAATACAAGTATCAGACCCTTAACGCCATAGACAAGCCCTGCAAAAATATTTTTAATAA